ACCCCCAGCCCCAGAGCCCCACAAAGATGTCGGCAGCCTTCACTCCAGACCAGCCCAGCAGCCCCACAGGACATCACGCCCCAGGTCTAGGCACTAGCCAGAACCTCCCAACACCCCAAGCAAGATGTTGGCAGTGCCACCAGCTGCCCCTACCCAGTGTCCGGGTCACCATGCTGCAGTTTGGCCTCCTCAGCTCAGCGCCAGCAGTGCCCAGCAGGTCCTGTCACACAGCCAGCACAGGGACAGCTCAGTGTGGGGTCACCCCGGCTGGGGACAACCTTCCTGGCAGGGACCCTCCCGAGGTGATGGTCAGAGCAGTGGCTGAGCACTGGCGGTGCCCATCACATGGCAAGCACAGGGTGGGCTCTGCAGCTCTGCCAACAGCTTGGCTCTGGGGAGAGGACGGAGGAGGGGAGAAGAGAAAAACAGCAACAGTGACAGGACAAAGCTTCCCTGGTCTCACTGCAAGCAGCAAGCGTGAGGGTGAACCAGTCGGACAGGCTGAGCCCCAGGTGGGCACCCTCGTGGCTCCTGCTGCCACCCTGTCACACACTCCCCTTACCTGGGCTTTTTAACAAGCTCATCCTGATCCTCCACTGAGCGCAGCAGGAGAGAATGGAGGAGACAGTCAGTCTGCAGCAACCAAGGCCCAGGGACAGTAGGAAGGGAAGGGAAAGGAGAAAACCCGACTTCTCCCACTGAATTCCCACCCCAACACTTCAGACACAGACTCCTGCGCAGCCGCGGGGCAGAGCAGGGCCCCAGCCCAGCAGCACCGCTACGTGCCCCCACACGTTCCCAGCCCACACACAGCCCTGGGTAGCTCCCAACAGCTCAGCCTGCCCGGAGGGGCCACACGGGGCCAAAATCAAGCCTCCAGTGCCCCCTAGGCCTCTGTTGGGTTCTGACTACCCTGGCAAAGCTGGGCACCCCCGGGCAGGCAGCCAGTGCTGATGCTGCAGGAACTTACAGCTGTCTGTGCCCATCAGACGGGCCAGTTTGAGGAAGGAGCGGGACTGGGAGGTCCCAGTGCAGGGCTGCCAGTCCTCAGCATCCTCTATCATACGCAACTTCCCGGGGTCACACACGGGGGTGCTGGGGGGCTCCAGCGGCTGTGAGAGCTGCCTGCGAGGGACAGAGGGCAGGCACTCAGCTGGCACCACACATGGACCCAGCACTGCAGCACCGGGCAGTGCTCACAAAGGAGCACTTGCACACGCCGCTCCCCTCAGCAGACCCTGGCACTCACCGCTGCACCCCTGTGCCCCAGCCAGACCCATGGGCATCCCTGTGGCATTGGAAAAAACGGCGGCACAACAGTCAGCAGATGAGCCATGGCTCAGTGCACCCCTCCCGTATGCACCCCCAGCCCCACAGAGGCTCCAGCCCCACAGAGATGCCAGCAGCCTTCACGCCAGATCAGCCCTGCAGCTGCCTCACAGGACATTGTGCTCCAGGTCCGGGCACTGGCCAGCACCTCCCAACACCCTCAGCAAGGTGTTGGCAGCGCCATCAACTGTCCCTACCCAGTGTGTCCAGGACACCTCAGTACATCCTCAGGCCCACAGAAAAGCCAGCAACACTCACCCAGCTCTGCCCAGCCACCCTGCAGCCCCCACCAGACTCACATGTCCTTACACCCAAGGACCAGGCACTGCCCAGAACCTCCCAAAACCCACAACCAGGTTTTGCCAGTGCCTCCAGCCTCCTTCAGGACCCATTTGTCGAAGCGGCCATGGGGCAGCTCAGTGCCAGCTGTGCCCAGAGTCCTGCCCAGGATATGCAGCCCTGCGTACAGCTCCTGCTGCCTCCCTGGTACACACTCCCCTTACCTGGGCTTTTTTGTATGCTCATCCTCATGATCCTCCACTGAGAGCAGCAGGAGAGAAAGGAGGAGACTGAGTCAATCTGCGGTGGACCGAGGCCCAGGGACAGCAGAAGGGAAGAAGAGGAAAAGGAAAGGCAGAACCCGACCTCTCCTCCCACCACCCTCCTGCCCCAACACACAGCTCTGCCCAGCCCCGGGGCAGAGCTCGGCCGCAGCCCAGCGGCACCACCACGAGCCCACGCACAGCCCCGGGCAGCTCCCACTGCCTCAGCCACCCTGAAGGGTCAACTTGGGGCCAAAATCAAGCTCCCGGTGCCACATCGCCCCACAGCCTCTGCCGGGCACTGGCTACTCCGGTGAAGTCTGGCACTCCCAGGCAGCAGCGGGCCCTGCAGGAACTTACAGCTGTCTGTGCCCGTCAGACGGGCCAGTTTGAGGAAGGAGCGGGACTGGGAGGTCCCGGTGCGGGGCTGCCAGTCCTCAGCATCCTCTACCAGCCGCAACTTCCCGGGGTCACACACGGGGGTGCTGGGGGGCTCCAGCGGCTGTGAGAGCTGCCTGCGAGGGACAGAGGGCAGGCACTCAGCTGGCACCACACATGGACCCAGCACTGCAGCACCGGGCAGTGCTCACAAAGGAGCACTTGCACACGCCAATCCCCTCAGCAGACCCTGGCACTCACCGCTGCACCCCTGTGCCCCAGTCAGAACCATGGGCATCCCTGTGGCACCAGAAAAAACAGCAGCACACGTCAGAGGCTAAACCATGACTCAGTGCATCCCTCCTGTATGCACCCCCAGCCCCAGAGCCCCACAAAGATGTCGGCAGCCTTCACTCCAGACCAGCCCAGCAGCCCCACAGGACATCACGCCCCAGGTCTAGGCACTAGCCAGAACCTCCCAACACCCCAAGCAAGATGTTGGCAGTGCCACCAGCTGCCCCTACCCAGTGTCCGGGTCACCATGCTGCAGTTTGGCCTCCTCAGCTCAGCGCCAGCAGTGCCCAGCAGGTCCTGTCACACAGCCAGCACAGGGACAGCTCAGTGTGGGGTCACCCCGGCTGGGGACAACCTTCCTGGCAGGGACCCTCCCGAGGTGATGGTCAGAGCAGTGGCTGAGCACTGGCGGTGCCCATCACATGGCAAGCACAGGGTGGGCTCTGCAGCTCTGCCAACAGCTTGGCTCTGGGGAGAGGACGGAGGAGGGGAGAAGAGAAGAAACAGCAACAGTGACAGGACAAAGCTTCCCTGGTCTCACTGCAAGCAGCAAGCGTGAGGGTGAACCAGTCGGACAGGCTGAGCCCCAGGTGGGCACCCTCGTGGCTCCTGCTGCCACCCTGTCACACACTCCCCTTACCTGGGCTTTTTAACAAGCTCATCCTGATCCTCCACTGAGCGCAGCAGGAGAGAATGGAGGAGACAGTCAGTCTGCAGCAACCAAGGCCCAGGGACAGTAGGAAGGGAAGGGAAAGGAGAAAACCCGACTTCTCCCACTGAATTCCCACCCCAACACTTCAGACACAGACTCCTGCGCAGCCGCGGGGCAGAGCAGGGCCCCAGCCCAGCAGCACCGCTACGTGCCCCCACACGTTCCCAGCCCACACACAGCCCTGGGTAGCTCCCAACAGCTCAGCCTGCCCGGAGGGGCCACACGGGGCCAAAATCAAGCCTCCAGTGCCCCCTAGGCCTCTGTTGGGTTCTGACTACCCTGGCAAAGCTGGGCACCCCCGGGCAGGCAGCCAGTGCTGATGCTGCAGGAACTTACAGCTGTCTGTGCCCATCAGACGGGCCAGTTTGAGGAAGGAGCGGGACTGGGAGGTCCCAGTGCAGGGCTGCCAGTCCTCAGCATCCTCTATCATACGCAACTTCCCGGGGTCACACACGGGGGTGCTGGGGGGCTCCAGCGGCTGTGAGAGCTGCCTGCGAGGGACAGAGGGCAGGCACTCAGCTGGCACCACGCATGCACCCAGCACTGCAGCACTGGGCAGTGCTCACAAAGGAGCACTTGCACACGCTGCTCCCCTCAGCAGACCCTGGCACTCACCGCTGCACCCCTGTGCCCCAGCCAGACCCATGGGCATCCCTGTGGCATTGGAAAAAACGGCGGCACAACAGTCAGCAGATGAGCCATGGCTCAGTGCACCCCTCCCGTATGCATCCCCAGCCCCACAGAGGCTCCAGCCCCACAGAGATGTCAGCAGCCTTCACTCCAGACCAGCCTTGCAGCCACCCTGCATCCCCATGGGACATCGTGCCCCAGGTCCAGGCACTGGCCAGCACCTCCCAACACACCCAGCAAGGTGTTGATAGTGCCACCCACTATGTCCTGGACACCTCGGTTATCCCCAGCCCCATGGAGAAGCCGGCAGCATTCACTCTAGACCAGCCTCGTGGGCAATCCCCAGTCCCCCAGAAAAGCCAGTGACACCCACCCAGGTCTGCCCAGCTGCTCCACGCCAGGTTCACAGGACATCGTGCCCCACATCCAGGTGCGGCCCAGCACCTCCCGACACCCCCAGCAAGGTGTTCCCAGTGCCACCAGCCTCCTCCAGAGCCCATTTGCTCAAGAAGCAACAGTGCAGCTCAGCCTCCCGAGCTCTGTGCCAGCAGTGCCCAGCCGGTCCTGCCCAGCACACCCAGCACAAGGACAGCTTGTCTGGCAGGCAGGTGCCAGGGCAGGACCCTCCCGAGGTGATGGTCAGAGAAGTGGTGGAGCGCTGGCAGTGCCCATCATGGGGCGAGCACAGGGTGGGCTCTGCCAACAGCTCGGCTCTGGGGGAGGAGAGGACAGAGGGGGAACAGGAGGACGGAGGAGAGGAGAGAAGAAACAACAGGCAAAGAGTTTCACCAGTGTCACTGCAAGCAGTGAGTGCAAACCAGCTGGGTGGGCTGAGCCCCAGGTGGGCACCCTCGTGGCTCCTGCTGCCGCCCTGGCACTCGCTCCCCTTACCTGGGCTTTTTAACAAGCTCATCCTCCTGATCCTCCACTGAGCGCAGCAGGAGAGAATGGAGGAGACACAGTCAGTCTGTGGCAACCAAGGCCCGGCGACAGCAGGAAGAGAAAGGCAGGAAAACCAACCTCTCCTCCTGCTGCCCTCCTGCCCCAATGCACGTCCCTGCCCAGCCCTGGGGCAGAGCACAGCCCCAGACCAGCATCACCACCACGAGCCCACGCACAGCCCTGAGCAGCTCCCACTGCCTCAGCCACCCCAGAGGGGCCACACAGGGCCAACACCAACACTCCGGTGCCATGATGCACCACGGCCTTTATCTGGCTCCAGTTGTGCCAGCAAAGCTGGGCACCCCTGGGCAGGCAGCCAGCCCTGGGCCCCGCAGGAACTTACGGCCGTCTGTGCCCATCAACTGGGCCAGTTTGAGGAAGGAGCGAGACTGGGAGGTCCCGGTGCGGGGCTGCCAGTCCTCAGCATCCTCTATCAGCCGCAGCTTCACAGGGTCACACGTGGGGGTGCTGGGGGGCTCCAGTGGCTGTAGGGGCTGCCTGTGAGTGACAGTCATCTGTCAAATCTGACAGATCCCCACAACATCACCTCCCAGGGGCTACTGCAAACCTCCCCCAGCATAGAACCACAGCACACCAGTACATGAGACGCCACACGCTGCCTTACTCCCCCGACCCCCTACTCCTCCTCAGTGGAGGAAGGGCCCATTAGGGACTGACCACCATTCCTGGCAGTCTGAGACTGGCCCAAAGGGCCTGGAGGAAAAAGGACAGGACAAGAATAAGCCAAGGTCAAAAAATCACTGGCAGGGGAGCTGGATGAGAGCCCAGGTGCCCAGCACAGCACGGCAACTCTTGCCCAGCCAGGTCACATCTTGGGGAGCAGGGAAGGGATCACGTGCGAGGACACTGCAGGGCCCCAGCAGCTGGCAGAGACAGGTAATGCTCGCCCTTCAGGCCAGGGACAGTTTGCTGCCAGGGGCGACCCACCCACATGGACAAAGCAGTACGTGCTGCCTGTCCCCGGGGTTGTCCCTGCCCCGGAGAATGGGGCACTAGCAGGGAAGAGGCATGCAGGGAGGATAGAAAGAGCAGGTAGAAGGCTTACTGACTTGTCAAGGCTCAGCACCTGTAAGGGAGAGGGAAAGAGAAAGGGAGGAGAGAAAGAAAGAAAAAGGAAGGTGAAATTAGACCCACAGCACCCAAGAAGTTTCCAGAGCTCACTTATGGACTGCACCAGTCACCCTACCCCTGAGATTCAGCTCACCCAGGGCTGGGAGCACACTGGGACACAGGGGCAGACACTGACGCAGCAGACCATGCCTCCCTCAGCCCCCCCGAACAGGCCTGGGTGCCCAGGGCAGCCAGGGACACACACCCCCATTGCCCAGTTTCAGGGCACCACGGCAACTCTTGGCAGGAGGGTCAGGGACTGGCAGCTGCCGGACACACAGCAGCCCGGTGGGCAGCCTGCAGAGGTGGGAGCTTCTTCCCTGCCAGCAGGGTGAGGACGGCACTGCCCAGGCCTCAAGGGCTTCACTTTGCTCAGCCTGTACTGGCAGCCAAGGGATCAGCAGGACATCCCCAGGCAAGTGCTGGCTGGTGGCCACCACGCAGCCGCCACTTCCCTGCTGCCACAGACGCCAGCGAGTGTCCTGCTGCAATTGCCGTGCTGTGCCCTGCAGGATTCCCTACAGGCTGACACGTCCCTAAGTGAGGGACCAGCATGTGCGTGGCTGTGTGTCCCCACACACAACAGTCCTGTTGTGCCACCTCAGCACCAGCCATCAGGGCACCCCAGCATGGGCACTGTCACCCACTCCCACCCATGGGTGCCTGGCATGCAAGGCGCAGCAGGGCCAGGCAGCGGGCTCCCCCCGATCCTCAGGGAGCAGGACAAACAGCAACGTACCCATTGTGCTGGGGGGTGCAGGTGGGCGCCAGGGGCGTGTACGTCACGGGTTTCGTCACCAGCCCGGGCCGTGGGTTCGGAGGCGAGCCGGCCCCGAAGGGCCGAGCTGTTTTGTTGAGGGCAGTGCTGGGAGCGAAGTTATATTTCAGGGGTTCAGAGCAGGGGAGTGAGTCCTGAGCGAGACAAAACACACAGACACGGGCTCACACGTCAAGCAGCATGCAAGGGGCAGCCCCGGGCCAGGCAACGCAGCAGGCAGCCAGGTAGGAAAGCTGGACAGCACGTGCACCTCAGGTACCAGGGTCTGCCAGGCTGGATCCTCTCTCCGCAGGGCACCCAGCCCAGCGACAGCAGGTCACAAGCCCAGCCTGAGGGTCACTGGAGGATTAGTAAGTGCCCCAGACACTCACTGCTCCCTGCAGCGGGGCAGCACGTGCACACATGCCGATCACAATCGCCCCACGATGTCAAACGTATGCAGGTGGCTTCCATCCAGGAGCCGCCAGTCACCGGCCCCAGCCCTGCTTCCCTGTGCCAGGGCACAGCCCAGCATTAGCAAACAAGGGGCCCCAAGACTATGCTGTGGCTGCCTGGCCTCGTCCCCTGTGATGGCCCCTCTGCATCCCTGCCTGCACCCAGCACCAGCAGGGGCACAGACAGGGAGCAGCCAGGGCCTGGGTGCCTGCTGGGCAGATCCTGCTCCTTCCAATCCCCTGTGCTGCCAGGGGTCAGAGCTGCTCCTCCAGCAGGGAGTCTTCCAGCCCTCCAAACACACCCCGGCCCCCCAGAAGCAAAGTCCATTTGTCCATCTACACTCAGAGATTCCCCTCCTCTGAGACAATGCTGAGCTGCCACTGCAGCGCAAGGAGAGACACGTACCTTCTGCGTCTTCCCCAGGTGGTTCTGGGCTCTGCAAGAGAGGAGACAGTTGGGCAGGTGCTGGAACCGGCCCAGTCACTGCCAGGATGCTGGTACCCCAGGGATGCAGCACCCACCTGAGGGGAGCCACGGCCAGCCAGCACTGCCCCGTGGCTCACAGGTGAGGGCCAGCAGCGAGGCTTAAGCCTCATCCAGCCAAGCAGAGCCCCTGAACCCAGCCAGAGGCTGCCAGCCTCTGAGCAAGCAGCAGTGATGCTGGGAAATGGTGTTGCCGGGAGATGGCACTGGGCAGAGGGCCTGGATCTGCTCCCACCACACCAGGACCCCAAGTTTGCAAGACCCACAAATCCTACCTGCTCAGGGTGAGGCAGAGCCTGTCCCCACAGGCACGGATCCTGTTCTGGGCCTCGATGTGTGTCATGGAACTGGTACTCTCCCCATCGATGTACAGCACCCAGTCGCCCACTCCCACACCAGCCTGGGCTGCCTTCCCGCCCGGCGTCAGCTGCAGGACAGACAGTCAGGGAGCGGAAGCAAAGGGATACCCACGTCCTCATGAGAGCAGGGGTCTGCTGGGGCCCGAGCTCCCTCAAGCAAGGCCCAGCCCAGCCCAGGACACCATACAGACTTGACCCAGGGGGAGATAGGGACCCCCAGATCACTCATATCAAAGTGCATTAGCCCAGAGCAGCCTCTTCTCCCCTTCACTGCCCCAGGGCGCTGCCCAGCCCCTGCCCTCTGGCATGGCTGAAGACCACATCAGCACCCCGGGGTCCCGTCCCCATGACGCCAAACACGGCGGAGGCGGTGCTGGCTCAGCCTTGGCAGGAGGCCTGGACGCCCCTCGGAGCTGTCCCCGCAGTCCTGGGGCAGGAAGGGAGAGCAGTGAGTCAGGGCCCGTCAGGCAGCCCACGTCTCGCTGCAAACCACAGGCATGTCCAGCCCTTCGCCTGGGGTGAGAAGCGGGGCAGGGGAGGCAGCCCCCGGGCACTCCCCCCAGCCGCCCGTGCTCCCGTCCTGGTGCCGGCAGGCACAGACGTTACCTCATCCCAGCAGAGGAGCGGGAGCCCCCCAAGGGCAGGGAAACACCCGCCCCCACCCATGCTGCTCCCCCAGACCTCACCCCGCCGGGGCAGCCGGGAGCACGGCCACAGGTTCCCCTGCCCGGCCACAGTGCTGGGGATGCACCTTGTCCCCAGCACAGCTCTACGGCATGGATCTACATCAGCCCGATGCCAAGAAGCAGAGGTTGCCCTCCCCTCCCACCAGGGATACACAGCCAAATGAGAGCAGGGCCCTGAGCGTCACACGCAGCTCCCAGGCACTGACAGACAGACACACAGACAGACAGACGTGGGCAGGCTGCAGCCATTCCTGCTCCTCCAGCAAGGAAGAACTTGAGGCGCTTGGACCCGGACCAAGTATTTCCTCAAGTCCTGTTCGACATGAACATAAAAGGAGCGAGCCAGATTCCCAGCGCCGTCAGAGGGTTGAAAAATCCCTGCCGCCGAGTCCCAGCTCCTCCTTGCCCGTGCGCAGGGCCCGGCTCGCCCTAAAGCCACACTCCCCTTCCCTGCACCAACACTGGCCCTCCACGTGAGGCCAAATCCCACACCCGGGCTGGCTGTGGCCCCACTCCACATGCATCCCACTGCCAACCCTGTCGGGACTGGGTTACCCCTCTGGTGCACCCATGCCACTGCTCCTTCTGCCTGGCACAGGAGAGTGCCCTGGGCGGCAAGTGGAGGCGACAAGCTCCTGGCCACAATTGCTGCAAGTCCTGGCTTGCTGCCCTGGAGGGCTGGGGAAGGCACAGGGCAGCCGCATGGGTTTGGAGGCATGAGTGGGAGCTGGGAGAGGTTTTCACACGGCCGCCTGGGAAGGGGAGAGCACAGCAGGCTGCGTCACGCAGCCGCACCCAACCTGGCCAGCACCACCACTCTCCCCTTCCCCCTCCACACTGACACGCCAGGAAACCCCTTCGGCAGGTGCCAGCTCAGCTGGGAGCCCTGGCAGTGCCAGTGCCAGCCCCAGCCCTCCCGCTTCCCGCCTGGCCCTGCTAACCAGGGCTTCCTTCCTCCCCTCTCCGCCCAGCCAGGCCTTTGTTCCCTGAACCTCCATCACCACACTCGGTGAGGTGCCCACCGACCACCGTGGTCAGAGCCTCACCCAGCATGGACATGAGTTGGGTGCCTGCACAAGGGCCCAAGCAGCATCCCCCAGTGCCTTCCTGCCTGCAGCACCGAGGGTGTCTCCTCTTCCCCAGCTGGCAGGTACCAGGATGAGCCTCACAGCACCCAGCTCCCCAGACATCAGCCCTTACTCTACCTCCGCAACAAGCAGCTCAGGACCACGGTCTCACAGCCTCCCTAACCAAGGTGTCAGGACCCCAGCAGAGACCCTTGCCACAAGAGGCGTATGCATAGAGGACCAGGGCAGCATCTCTTTTGTGTGGCCACTGAGCTGAAGCAGCCTCACAATGCACCCAGTAGCATCACAGTGATGGACACAACTGAGACCTAAAGCACACAACACTACTGCTCTCCCCGTGCTCCCCAAGTCCACAGAGTAGGACCCCACTGCAGCTCCCAAAGCCAGGGAAGGATGCCTCATTCCAGCCCACTCTGGCAGCCCCAGGCCTCTGGGGTGCAAAGTAGCACAGGGTTACCCCTTCTCATCAGACAGAGCCCACCATCCTGCCACACAGCCCAGCCTCACCAGAGAGCCCCCCAAAGCTGGCTACATGCCCCGGGAATGCCCTTGCTATTGCTCCTGCCTACCCTGCCCAGGACAGCAGCATTACCCAAGCCCTGAGGGCAGTGCTGGCCTGCTCACACAGCAGGGCCGTTGCTTCACGAGGCCCCTGCCCCAGGCTTTGGGAGGCTCCTCCATCCGACCAGACCCTTTGTTAAGCGCTGGCTCGCAGCCAAGAGAAACATTTTTTAGAGAATAAACTCGCTGAAGCCATCTCTGCGTGTTCAGCAGAGATCGGCAGGCCCTGGGGCAGCAGCACTGGTGACTCCAGCCTTGCACAGTGCCCTCAAGGTCTGTGCTCCACGCTGGGGTGCTGCCGAGACCCACACGCCCCGGGACAGGCGCGCGGTGCCAGTCTCGTGCCGGGGGCAGGCCCCCACACAGCGCTCGGTGCCACAACCAAAGTTGTCCTTTGAGAAGCAGCCTCTACGCCAGCTGCCTAAGCGTCAGCATCACAGACGATGCAGTTGCATTCCAAGGCTTATAAGGCAATTGCGTGGCCAGAGCCACAGTCAGCACCCACCCAGGGGACTGGGCCACCCAGGGACAGGGACCCTCACACGCCCAAGGGCCAGACCTGGCCTGGGCGAGCACTGCACCAGGCATGGCTTGCACCAGGTGCCTCAGCCCCAACCAGCCGGCAGCATGACAGCTCTCACTCATGTCAGAGAAACAGGCTGGTTTTGCAGAGGGAGCCATGTCCCAGCGCAGGCAGCAGCGCAGGCAGCAGTGCAGTCTTCCTCCCCTCCCTGCCCGTGTCAGCAGGGGCCAGCTCAGGTGTGGAGCTGGAAGCCATGCAGCAGGAGAGAGGGCAGAAGGGCACGAGCCAGGTCCTGGGACGCTGAGCCCAGCGTAATGGTGTGGACCAGGAGGCCGGCCCCACAGCTCAGAGACGGTGAGAGCAGCTCCCCTCCCCCTGTGGTGGGCATGCTCCGGAAGGGGCCTCCTCTGCCCCCCCAACAACCAGAATGACTCTGCAGAGGCTGTGCAGCATTTCACATCTCTGCTGCAGTCCTCTGCCCGGAACACCCCCGTGCCAGACTGCAGCTGATAAGGCACAAAGAGGCTACGCAGAGCCCGGCAGGGCAGGACACAGCACTCCCAGGGCCCTGGCTCATCTGCATCCCCCGTACAGCCCTGCTTCAGCCACCTGGATGCAGCTGCCACGGCCTCCCACCCCCAGAGGCAAGAGGAAGGATGGGTGTCACCAGTCCTGGCTTCGCTTACCCTGGAGATGGACAGTGGCATGCTGAAATCCTTCCCTCCCTGCAGCCTGAAGCCCCAGGGCGCCGGCCCATTCAGCATCACTTTGTAGGATTCCATGTCGCCCATCTCTGCAAGGGAAGAGGGTGCGATCCTAATGTTAGGGTACATGGGAACAAGGCAGGGAGAGCAAGCGAGGAGAGGGCCCAGCGCCTGGCAGGATGAGGCAGGTCACATTTCCAACAGTAACTCCACCCTGACCATCCTACACTGTGGTTAGAGACGCACCCCAAATCTATCAGCATCTCCTCCATCGCCGTCAGAGCTAAGGGGCCCAGGCTAACACTGATGAGTGCCAGAGCGCCAGGCACAGCCCCTCTGCCACACGCAGTGGAGCGCCTGCAGGATCTGCTCTCCCTTTCCCAAACCTGGGACGTGCTCTCCCTTGCAGCACCCCAGAAACATACTGCTGAACACCAAGCGCATTTGAGACTGCGGGGAAGTGACAGCAGGTACGCCAGGATGGGAACCAGAAGCGTTTTTACACGGTAAATTAGCATCAGCAGCGCAGGAGCTGCGTGATGCCACCCGAGGCGCCCGGCAGAGCAGCCAGGCTGGCGCTCCGGCAGCCGGCCGAGCAGATGCTACCTGGGAGCGAGCCCATCGCCGCACAGAGAGCCGGGGCTTCGGCGGGGAGGGAATCCCGGCGCTCCCCTGCCTGCCAGGGCAGCGCTGACAGCTGTCAGCCGGCCAAGGCTCCGGGCAGGCGGGACGGCCCCAGCCTCCCGGCCACCCCTCACCTGGAAGGGCCTCCACAAAGCCCCCCAGGACCTTTCTCCCGCCGCTGGCAAGCAGGGGCCAGGGCCAGCTCCGCGGTCCCGGGGCCCTCCCCACCCCTCGCAAGGGACGGCAGGCTCCCAGCGGGGAGGCGGCAGGGCTGGGGGCCAGCGTGCCCCCGCTCTCCCCGGCCCGGTGCGGGCTATATAAGGCGTGTAAGACGACACCAGCCCGCTCCCCGCTCGGGAGGGCCGGGGGAAGGCTGCGTGTCAGGCATTCCCGGCGCCCGGCAGCCGCGCAAGCCCCAGCGAGGCGCCGGGACCGGAGCGCAGGC